AGATCATTTTTTAATAGGAAATTTGTGTGAAAGACTATAAGTTGTAGTAGTTGATCATATTTAGTCAACAGGATAAATGTATAAAAAATTAAAACAACGTTGTTATCACTAACCGAGTAGGGCAACCCAGGGAGATTCAGATTGGACTCCCTTGCTTTCTAAACTCCTCCTCAGAGAGGAGCCTGGGTGCAGCTGGATCCAACCTTTGCCTCAGACCTGGCACTTCCAGGAAGAGTGATTAAAATGTCATGGTCCAAGGAAATGCTCAACCGTCCAATACCCCTTGATCAGATTAAGGTGAAATGACACTCAAGGTCTGTATTTTAAATTATGTTTACTTAAAGCTATAGAAAGGATATGGATACTTCAATTATTATCTCAGGCTGTATGATCATAAAGGGCACAATACACAAATGTTGAGGCAAAAATCGTGATTAGGCCTTGTGTTACTTAATTATGTTAGGAAGGGAGAGAGAGTAGGAGAAGAAAAGTTTAGAGAGATATAAAATAGAGAGTAACCAGTCCTGGATCCAGCCAACGGGGGAGAGTTGGTGTTAGTGAAGCTCCCAAGCCCATCATTGCAGCCTCCTGCTTAATGGGCAGTTTCCTTGTTTCGCAAGGAGGAGCAAGCATGTTTGAGTCATCAACCTGAGCAGCTGAAGAGGCCTCGCCCCTCCATCCTTATCTCAATCGCTGGCCCTGAGGGCTGCAGGCACCGGGCAGACCATCAGTGCAGTCTCCATCCTCTCAGGCAGACCTTTTGGGATGCAAACAAGGCTTTGTTTAGGGGTTACAATGGGGTTACCAATTCCAGCAATATAGGTCCTGAAGGCTGGTCCCTCACAATTGTCTTCAAGTTCTACCCACTGTTACTAAGTCTGATTCAAAATTATTTTTATTGTCTATTTAACAGCTTTTACCATACGTTAAAAAACCTTTTAGAAAATCACGTTGGAAAAAAATAAAAGAAAAGGCGTCAGGTTTTGGGTTTTTTTTCCCCAGTCTTATTAGAGGTTGAAATCACAAATGTGATTACAGACAGAAAAGAAAATATCACAGTACTGTAATGTCTGTCTTTATTTAAAGCCTGGCCTAGTCTGTATAGTATAAAGATGTCTCCTTTAACCCTTGCTATTTAAGACCTAGGTCATGAAATAATTTTTCTATGTTTTAAATTATTCTTCCAATATTTCTACTATTCAGATTTAGAAGACATTAATGTAAATTAGGACAAATAGAGCTGCATGGTATATCTATTGCAGCTGAATATATGCATGTAGGATACCCATATATCAGCTGTATAGCATCTGTGTTGGCTGTTCAGAAATAATTTTGTTTCCTCATTGTTACAAAAGAAGATAAAGAAAGATTCCAGAAGCACTACTATATGGGACTGAAACTATCTACTGATAAACAACAAGCCTGTAAAACAGCATGCAAATATGTGGGTCATCTGTTGCATGATCCTGATCCAGTACAGTTCCTGATAAAGCACAAAATCTCATTATATTGCCATTTCCCTGAGCTATCAAGAGCTTAAATCTGTTCTTAGATTTCATAGCTGCTGCCACAGATTAGAGTGGAATTACAATGCAAAGCACTGACTGTTCTCATCTGAAACTACCCAGCTAGTAAGAGGAAATCTACAGGCAAGGATAAGAAAAGTTGTAATTGGAATTGCATCATAATGCCAGCAGCTTGGGTGGTGGCCCCACCTTCCCATTGATCTATGTCACCACATACCAGAAGATGAAGCTAAATAGGTTATGTATCATAAATATCTAGCTCAATAAAGGAAGTTTTCTTCCTTTTAACCCCTTCCCAACACATACACACTTTGAAGTGAATATTATTCATCCATCTAATTTGTATACCACTGAAATGAATAGTAAAAGGCTTTCTTCTTAACTGTTATTTTGGTACTCTTTCTCTAAAGAAACTGCTGCCAGAGTGACAGGACATATTTTGCTTTTCACTGTAAGAGTTAGCCTCTGTTTCAGAGTGACAAATGTAAACTATCTGTAACGTGCAAACATTTGTTCTGTTTTTCCCTATGAAGGCAAATGGCTTGAGCATGTAATAATTTATGTCTTGGACACTTACTTCAGTTGCCTTAAACTTTTTTTATTAAACATTATACATATATATACTATGCGATGGGATGGAGTGATGAGATCCTCAGACTAGTGCACACTTGATCCTGTAAATCCATATGGCAGTGGAATACTGTGCAGATATAGCAGCACGTCCTTGATCAGTGCAACTATTTTCTCTGGGACACACGGCTTGCAATCATGTGGGTACGTTTGTCTGGATCCAGCTAGTCATGTATTGCATTGTCAGTTCTGACACTGACTTAGGCTGGATCAGCAGATTGTCTTTCCTCTCCTCCCTTGGTTCTACATACATAAACTTGCAAAAATTTACCTAAATGTGATTCTGATACCCAATAGAAGGACAGCTTTTAAGGTGCTTTTATTAACTTGACAGAATCTTAATGACAGGTTGGGTGCTGGGAGTATCAGGAAAACTCTGAAGGTGCAGTTCCCAGAAACACATGCAATCACGGACAAAAGCGCCAGTTAAAACAAAAAACAAAAAACAAAAAAACAAAACAAAACAAAACAAAACAAAAAAAAAAGAGGTTCCCCAACCAAAATAAATATACAAATTATGAATTTTCATTTCACCATTTGGAGGTCTTTAATTGACAAGACTGTGGTTTGCTTTTTTGAGCAGGCCAATACACACCTGACAGGAGCATTAATCACACACATGATCTGTCACCTCTGCAGGCTGGTCTTTGCTGTCGATTTACATATTTCACCTTCTCTCATAATGGGTGGTTTATCCAGGGTGGATTAAGGCTCAGATGTTGCTGACTCCATAAAAAAAGAACTTCCTTGCTTTTAAAGGAATACTTTGTCATTTACTCATCTCAGGGGATTGCCTTTGTAGCTTCAGCAGAAGAGCTTTTCATTGCTCTCACTTTTGCATACACTTTATCTTGAGATGTTGTCAGATACCTTTTTAAGGTTACAAGAGTCAGAACAAGGTCAAGTATCATTTGTGAAAAAAACATTATCTTATCCAGATATTATGGAAATTGAAACATGATTGTTGCTGATACAAAGGTCACTTCCTAACCTCTTGCCTTGGTTATATGATGGTTTTGGTTTTGGTTTGTTTTTTCACATCTTGCTTTTCCTTTGTCTGTCCTTTTTCTTTCCTTCTCCTCCTTCCTCTCCTTTGCTTAGACTTCAATTTCCACTCTCTGATTTTTTATTTAAACACTCATTACACTCCGATGCTTATCTTGGTGCTTAGTCACAGGTGCATGACTCCTTTTTGCTGCTATCGATAAAAGTCAATTCCCTCTCTCCCAGTAATGCTGTGTGGGAATAAACATGATAATTAATCATTTTACAGCTCACAGCCTCCAAGATAATGCCACTGGCTAATAGAATGATGATCATAGGAACTGCAGCAGCTTTCCAGTATTATTAATAGAGTGGCTGAACTTCTCAACATGTCTTTAATTTATAAAGAGTTGCGTTGGCATTTTGTATGAGGAAAAACTTATAACATCTCTACCTACCTTGGTCTGTGTCTTAATAATAATTTCTACACCAGACATATGAAAAATGCTTTGGCCAATTTGATGCTGACAAGAAGAGCACAGGATTAATCTACATGTGTCCTCCTACACAACTGATTTTAGTGAACATTATATACAAATGGAGACTCCTACTGCTCTGGATGGGTTTTAGACCACTCTTGTATGCAGAGTCCACACCAACTGCCATAATGCCCAATTCTAGCATGTTGCCCCCTACTTATATTGCTCACACACTATGTATAGGTAGCACCTCTATAAGTCAGGAGATAACTCACTTTTTACCCTGCTTTCAATCCATGGAGCACCTGTTGAGTTGTGCAGTTTGTAATTAGCAACCCTTCTGATGGCAAAGGCTGTAGGTTTCATCGATTATAATCACAACCAAGCTCACCACCTTGTCCTTTAATACTGCTGTTGACCTTACCCATGACAGGCAGTCACAGTTTTGCCTGCTGAGAATGTGCCAGAAGAGCTCCATTTGAGTCACACTGAAGCAGCTAAGACTGATTATTGCTGTTAAATGCAACCTACCGTTCTGCTTTACATAGAATGTGTCTCCAGTTTTGTAATTGTAAGGCAGGCTGTTAAGTTCAGTTAGAATAAATTTTTGCTTTCCTATCTTGTAGTTGAGTTGAAGCTCAGTTGAAGCTTATGGAACATGTTATCTTTTTGGAGGCAATGAAATTATACAAAAAGCAGATGTGTGTGAACAGGCAGTGCTCAGGGGACTTGTCTCCAAGGTATAGTTAAGGTTGGATGTCCCCCATCCGAGTTCCCCCTGACAGGACTCTTTATTTTAATTTTTTTTTTTTTTAATGCAACAAATTTTTGTTCTCAAGGAAGGAAAAATGGTAGAAGTACAGATACCTCATTATTCCTCTCCATGGGCATGTATGTTCTGGCTAGTTGAGCAGTCAGCAGTACTGTAACCTATTGGTCCTCTGTGTGGGAATTGCCAACGGTGCAATTAAGGCAATCCAGAAATGGAAGTCTGGGGAATGCCACTGCATGGAGTTCCCATCACTAGGAGAGATCTGTTTAATTTGCAGCAAACTGCAATGTCAGGGATACCACGGGAATCAAGCCGTGTAGGAAAACCCTCGTTTGCCAGAGAGCTCAGCTACCGGGTGCACACGCCTAACCTTTCGTGTCACGCTCTCCATCTTTGTAATTCTGGAATTAGGGAGGGAGAGGCTGCGTTTCCCAGGAAAGCATAAACACGAGGGCTCCCCTTCACACGGGGCTGCCCCGGAGAGTGACCGGCCCGGCCAGGCCAGCGGGGCCAGGCCTGGGGGGCCAGGCTGGAAGGCCCTCTCTGGATCTCCCTGCTGCGAGCACACGAGGCTCCTGGGGTGCCAGGCAAGAGAAGAGCGTTCGGGGAATGCGCAAGGTTTATTATGGGGTGTTTAGGCAAAGGAGGTGAGATCAAGGGGGCCTGGGGAGGAAGCAGCTTGGGGCTCAAGCCCTGGTGACGCGCAAACCCGCTGCTCATCGGGACGTTTCTCTGGCCACGTCCTGCACTTGATCAGCTCAGCGCTTCTTGTCTCAAACTCAACTTCTAACTGTTTTCCTGGACGAGAGGCCTCTTTGTTCCGCACGCGCGCGCAAGGAGCTCTAAGGGCGAACGTTGCAGGCGGGGCCGCACACGGGCCCGGCCTCACCCCCTTCCC